GTCGCTGGGGACAGGGGACGTGGCTGGGGACACGGCTATGGGCAGGGGACACAGCTTGGGAGGACACAGCTGGAGACACATCTGGGGACAGGGGACATGGCTGGGGACACAGCTGGGGGACATGGCTGTGGATAGGGGCCATAGCTGGGGGACAGGGCTGAGGACAGGGGACACGGCTGGGGACACAGCTGGGGACAGGGCTGAGGACAGGGGACACAGCTGGGAGATGTGGCTATGGATAGGGGTCACAGCTGGGGGGACACAGCTGGAGACACAGCTGGGGGACACGGCCATGGGTAGGGGACACAGCTGGGGGGACAGGGCTGAGGACATGGCTGGGGACAGGGGACATGGCTATGGGTAGGGGTCACAGCTGGGGGGACAGGGATTAGGACAGGTGACACAGCTGGGGACACAGCTGGGAGATGTGGCCATAGATAGAGGTCACAGCTGGGGTGACAGGGCTGGAGACACGGCTGGGGACAGGGGACATGGCTGGGGACACAGCTGGGGGACACGGCTATAGGTAGGGGACACAGCTGGGGGGACAGGGCTGAGGACAGGGGACAACTGGGGACACAGCTGGGAGATAGACACAGCTGGGGGACACGGCTATGGGTAGGGGACACAGCTGGGGGGACAGGGCTGGGGACATGGCTATGGGCAGGGGACACCTGGGCACAGGGGAGATGGCGTCGGGAGGGGACACAGCTGGGGGGACAGGGATGAGGATAGGGGACACAGCTGGGGACACAGCTGGGCACAGGGGACATGGCCACGGACAGGGGACACAGCTGGGGACAGAGGTCACAGCAGGGGGGGGTGCATGGCTGGGGAGAGGGGCCACCATTTGTGGGCGTGGCTGTGGAGAGGGGACACGGCTGGGGGACAGGACGGGGGGACAGGGCTGCGAGGGACGGGATTACCCCCGCGGGGGGAGAAAAAGCGCCGCTGCCCCTTTAAGAGCCCCACGGGCCGGGACGCGGCGCCTTTAAGCTCTATAAGCAAGGCGGAGGGGCGTGGTT